AGGGAAGGGCAGAGTACAGGTACAGATACAGAATTGGAGGAAAGGGGCCTATTGATGGTGGATTGTGTTATTTACACATATGGAGCTAAGTACCAGAAGACACTGTTTTAAGATTTGAAAGTGGTTTCCTGAAGAACAAGAATCAGAGATGTGGGGAGGGGGGCAGAGGCAAGGGGCTGCTGTTTTTTGTTATAAACATTTAAACCATTTACTTCTTAAACTTTATACACACTTTACCATGTGATTTCACCTTTTTAAAGTAAACAGTTTTTTTAAAAATTTAGTCCACTACTTCATTTTCCAAATGAGGAAAAAACAAGTCACTGATTACGTGACTTGCTCAAAATCACACACCATATTGACAGCAGTCAGTCCTTGATCCCCTGACTTCCAAAACAGTGTACTTCCTCACATCACACTACCTTTTATATTATAAAAATATTACCTACTGGCATATTTCATAATCAGAATTTATTAAAATAACCTAGTAAGCAATAATGAATGCCCTATTCTCAAGGACTGATACCAAAAAAGGCAGAAGAGTGTCCTTGTGAAGATCAAAATACTCATTCAAGCAAAACAAATAGCCCATGGACTATCTCTACCTCATTCACCTTTAGAATAGCTATACTGTACAGGCTTCAAAAACAGATAACACTTCCTTTGTCCTTTCCAATTCTCCTAATCTGAATACTCTTAATTATGCTACCTTCAGTTTTATAAGTTATCAACCAAGAATTTCTCTTTCCTTTTAGCAATTAATACCTTATCATTTTATTCAGATCTTACCAGTACAATTGCACCTAGAGGTTAGCTGTCTAAACTGACAGACCAATGAATGTCTAATGCTAACCACTGAATGTCTACTCATTCAAATAATATAAATGCAGGGCTAATGCCCATAAGGAATATGGGTCCCTGTGTAGTATGATATGAGACGACACAGATGAATGACAAACATTCTGTCAAAAAATACCTCCTAGTCTTTATTGTGTCTAAAATTCTCATCATTAGTCCCAGGGATGGAGAGCTTTGAATAGAAGTCTCCACTGATCAACCAAAAGTCAAATTCAACGGTTTTTTGTTATACTAGAGAGAACAAAATATTTGCAATGGCTATTTCTGCATGGGGAAACCATAAGCAATTTTCTTCTTTCTTCTGCTTTTCTAGGTTTTATATTAGACAGCAGTACACATTTTTAAGACCTTTTTCTTTCTTTTTTAAAAATTAATTAATTTATTTATTTTGGGCTGCACTGGGTGTTCGTTGCTGTGCACAGGCTTTTTCTAGTTGTGGTGAAAGGGGGCTACTCTTCGTTGTGGTGTGCAGGCTTCTCATTGTGGTGGCTTCTCTTGTTGCGGAGCACGGGCTCTAGGCGCACAGTCTTCAGTAGTTGTGGCACGTGGGCTCAGCAGTTGTGGCTCGAGGGTTCTAGATACATGCTCAGTAGTTGTAGCGCACGGGCTTAGTTGCTCTGTGGCACGTGGGATCTTCCCAGACCAGGGCTCGAACTCATGTCCCCTGCATTGGCAGGCGGATTCTTAACCACTGCGCCACCAGAGAAGTCCCAAGACCTTTTAAAATTCTGATTCTTCTCACTTCTTGGCAGTGATCAACAATGGTAAACTTGTTAATCAATCCCACCTTCTTAACCTACCCACCCACCTGCTTCACACACTGACTGCTCCATCTTTGTCGCCTTTGCCAATTCCTCTTCTTTCACCCATTCTCTAATTATGTGCAGTTCCCAAGGCTCAATCTCAGATGCACTGCTCTTCTCTCTAAGCACAATTCCAGCCTTAAATTTCTCTATTACATTCTAGTCATATTGTCCCACTGTCTGGCTATCTATTTTCACTTACTTACCCCACTGTCACCTCAAACTCAACATATCCAAAATATAAGCCCAGTTGTCTGTATCCCGTCAACCAGCTACTAATACCTCATACCTATTTCTGTCAGTACTGTCATTAATAAAACCCTAGTTCTTTTTTGTCACCAACTAGGTGAGTAACTTTGGCCACAATTTTAAACCTCTCTGGGTTTCCTAATGCACATGTTCTCAGATATCTTAAGAGTTTCAACACTCTTTGATTTCCTCTGTCACTGAGGATCAAAACTTCAGTCATTTTTGATTACTCCTCTCCCTCCCCGCACTACATCCTCCTTTCTTATTCAGTCCAGAATTAAGCCTTGTGTGACATCTCTCCAGTCTTATTTTCACTAAAGCCAAATCCTCATTACCTCAGGCCCAGATTATTTTCCTAGCTTTATCACTTCTCTTTCCAACTCATACTCTACCCAGTGCTGGTGCCACTGTGATTTTCTTAAAATACTTTTTTAAGCAAGTTCCTTCTCAATCTGAAACTTTTAAAGTTTGTCTATTACCTACGAAGCAAAGTGCTGATACATTCTTCTCATCCTAGCACTTGAAACCATCCATAATCTAATTCCTATCCACATTTTCAACCTGATTTCTTACTACTCTGGATTCTAAGAGGTTGATATGACTTTCAATATTCTAGGCTGAGGATAAGAGTCCCAGAATTCAGGTGGTAAAAGTGGGGGAAGCAGAAATATGAGTGACAAAATAAATATGAATAGGACATGTTGAATGGATTAATATATGAGGTAAATGAAAGAGGTAGTTTAAAGATGACATCTAATTTAAAGCCTATATGGCTAGGAGAGAAGGAAATTACAAAGGGGTATAAAAAGATGATTTTCATTTAAGGTATGTTATGTTTAAGGAGATGGTCAAAAATACTAGTAGAAAAACAGTACTGGAAAAACCAGAAAGTAACTAGAATGACAATCAATAGGATTAGCCTAAAACGAAAAAGCTAGACAGAAGCTATAAAGATATTAAATAGGAGAGTAAATATACTAAGCTATGATCAGCTAGTACTGGCTTTATCAATAAATTGATAACTGGCTGTATCAATAATTGTATCAATAATTTTGGTGGGGAGGGGAATCAATTAGTGACCAACATTAAAAAATGCAGTTTTCCCATTTAAAAATATTTATCAGAAAAGCCAACCAAAAGCTAAGGCAAAGGTTCCCAAACTTTCTCCATTTAGGAAATTCTTAGTCTTAGTAATTTTTTCATAGCACCCTTAGGCCAAAAGAAATACTTAAGTAGCTGGGTTCAAACCACTTAAGTGTTAATGTCCTTATAACTTAGTGCTTGTTGGACACTGTACAAACTCTCAAACCTGGAATCAAATTGGACAACATGATACTGTAGTATCCTGTTTCATACAGTAGTTGCTTTTTATCAGAGCAACCTCTAAAAATACAGCTTTGCAAAAACATGACATTGTAGAAAGGAATGTGTCAATCTAATGTTGAAACTGTGAACTACCTCAAACTATCAGTTCATGCTTGGGTTCAATGGCACTCTGGGCCACCTCAGCACACAGTTTGGGAAACTGGGAGCAAAGGGAAGGGGCCTAAAAAAGAGAAGCATAAAAAATAATGGGAGAGGAGCAAAAGAAAGTTATTAGCATGGTTAACCACAAGAGGGCAGCACAACAGTTGGTAGGGGCGGCACAAATGTGGGGGGGAGGGGGGTGCGGAGAGATGATAAGGGTCAAACCTTTCCATAAAAATGCTCTAAGACCCCTTAACCACTTCAAGACATAAAAGTCCTTTTTCTCCTTATACCAAAGAGGAAGAAACACTGGTCACTGGCAGATCACCTTATGCAGTCATTGTGCCCTTCTCTGAATATCCTTTGCCTGCCCAGCCATGACTTTCACAGTAGCCAAGCAATGTACTACTTTGCATGCATAATCTTATTCAATCCTCACAACAATCTTATAAGAAAGTGAGACTCAAAGAGATTTTAAATAATACCACTATTAAGTGGCAGGAACACCAGAATTCAAACCCAGATCTGACCCCAAAGCCAATGTCCTTCCCTATTCTGCCTCAAAAGTATCTCACCTTTCAGCAATAACCAGGTGAACTAGAGAAAAGATCATGTTCCCATCCTATACCTGAAACACCTGTCTCAAATCACTAGGAAAAACCAGTAAATGAAACAAACTATTCCTTACAGGTCCCTAAAACATGCTAAATAACTCCAAACACAGGACACTCAGAGCCAAAACAAGCATTATATGCTTAACTAGTCAGCAAGTACTGTAGCTTTCCTGTACAGGTAAATACTTGTTAAGGCAAATGTTGGACACATCTGCTTTGCAGATATGTTACACACTAAAAGATATGTGCACATACAAGCAAGCGATTCTCATACCTAAAGTGGTAAAAGGTGAAGGGGGTAGGGAAAGGTAGGCCAAAGGTTGATTATTCATCTTCATATCTACTGGGTGTTATATCAGAATACCTGCAATAGCTCAACAACTCACTTGTACAAACCTATTAAGAAACCAAAAGCAATCGTCATCGCTCTTATTCCCACTTGAAGTTTCCTTCTCCACATTTTTCCTCCCCTCTGTGACATACTCAGCTGCCTCTATCCTTTCATTCAGAGAAAAGGAGTTTCTTCTGACAGATTAATAACCACCGGAAAGCAAAATGGGTAAATTCAACCGACACAGCAAACTTAAGCAGATAAAACCATTCACGAAGCATTCAGTGTGGTCGCAGAAACCCCAGCAAGAGCAGCTAACGTGTCCTCTCAATAGGTATCTCTTATTACTTGAAAATGTTCCTCGTTCAAAGATTAACAATCTTTGGCTGCTTGAGGAGAAAGGGTAACGGACAACGTTTTCTCTGCAAAGAAAGACAATGTACAATCAGCAGAGAAACAAACAATTAACGTTTCTTAAAGGATCCAAGAGCAACAATAACCCCCAAAATTACCCTCCCAGAGCAATATTCAAAGTTCAGTACTGCCATTTTCAAAGGAGTAAGCAACAATGAGCCCTGCCCGTCGACACACGCTTCCAACCTTCCTACGCACAACAGCTCGAGACACCCTCGTCTTTACTGCAGCGAAAAAAGACAGCAGCCAGGATCGCATACCCACCTTCGCGGGAAGGGGAGGAAGGGCCTCTTCTGCAGAAGAGAAACAGGTCACATCTTGTTGCCTTGCCTGCTTCCGAAACCTTAAAAAAAAAAAAAAAAGCAGCAGTTAGTACCGCAGAAATCCAGGGGAAATTGATGCTCTTTTCTAGGCTGTTCAGATGTCTAGAAAATTTTAAAGAGGAATAAGGGGGAGGAGGAATATCAGACACATAAGAATGCAAATATCAACGCAAGACACTCCGTTGTAGGTTCCCTTTTAAAGAGGAGGATTTTCTTGCCGAGAAGTTTACTGCCACTAGCGAGGGGAAAGCGGGGATCAGGAGGTGGGAGGGAGGGTGAAGAGAGAACTGCTGCCGGAGCCCAGGCAGCAATAACACCCACCGCTGCACGGATCAGGCGACGAGGACGCACCCCGAGGACGCAGGGACTGCTCCTACCCGGCGCCTCCGCCTGGCCACGATCTTCGAAGCCCCTGGAGCGGGCAAGGGTCCAAGCGTCCGCCAGGCTGGGCCCTCGGGGGCCCTCCCGTGCGGGTTCTGCTCCCACTCACATCCCTCGGCGGCGAGGACCGGGCCTCTCCCTGCGCGGCGATAGCAGCCCTCCGCCCCGACGCGCGCCGCAAGTCCGGGCCCCGGGGCCGAGGGGCCGAGGCGGCGGCACGAACTGACGAGCGAGCCGGGAGCCGGCCCAGCCTCTCAGCGCCCCGGGAGGCCGTTAGCGGAGGCCGCTGCTTGCCCCCTTCTGCTCCTCTTCCTCTCTCCTTCCGGCAGCCCACACCACTCCCACTTCGGGCAGCCGGGAAGCCCGTCACAGTCGTCGTCTCCACCCTCTTCCAAGCCACACCGTCTTCCCAGCGCCGCAGGCGACACTGTCTGGGACGCCCTATTTACGTCCAACTCAGCCTCCCAGTTGGCCTCGGGTCCGGCGGCCGGTTCACGGCTGGCTGAGGCCGCCTCGGAGCGGGGCGGGGGCGGGGCGGGGCGGGGGCGGGCGCGGGCGCTTGGCGTGCGCCCCCGGTCTGCGCGTGCGCGCGTGTGCCTCTCCACCCAGGCCGCGCTTTCCCCGGCGCGCGCGGAGGGGCCGACGGGGACTGGCTACGCAAGACCGTGGCTTCTCGGGAAGCCGGCGAGCGTGCGCGGAGATTCCCGCGGTGGCCCCTGGGCGTGAGCGGGCGGGGGAACTTGAGCTGGGCTGGGCCCTCCGCAGATGGCCGTGTGCGTGGCCGGAGGCGGCTGGGAATGAGTAAGCCACGCCGGGAAGGCGCCCTCGGCGCACAACCTGGCACCGCACAGAGACTTTCCCCTCCCGCGCACTGTTGTCTTTTTCTGCTTTTGCTCCCACTTTCGGGGTGCAGCAAACCTGCCCCTCCACAGTCCAGGCCGCTAGGCCGAGAGAAGTAGCGCCGAGGGTTGGGGCAACGCGTTCATACGCACCGTTTCGCGCCAATGCAATTTCGTGCGCCTGATTCCAACCAGTCACCTCTGCTGGAAAGGGGTGAGAGTGGAATGAGGTGCCCAGATGCCTGTGGAATGGCGGCAAGGCCTGGCAAAGGAGGAGAAACAACTTCCACCATCCCAAAGAGCCTCATTCATTCATTCAACAAATATCTACAGAGCATCTACTGTGTGCCAGGCTGTAGGACCCCAAGGATGATACGTGAACACAACCCACATACTCTTTGCCCCACGGGAGCTTGTATTCTGATAACGCGACAAAAATGCTTTTAATTTATCAGTATAATGTGCCAGAGTATAACTGCCGCTAGGAAAAGTAAAGGAGCAGGAAGTGAGGAGGCAGTGTGCTATTTTAGTTATAGTGGCCAGGAAAGACCTCCCAGAGAAACTAACGTTTGAGCAGAGATCCGAAGGATGAGAATGAGCTATCTGGGAAAAGAGTTTCATGCAGAAACACTAGCAAAGGCAAAGACCCTGAGAAGGGAAGGTGCTTGGCAAGTTCAAAGGACCGAGAAAGAGGTCACTGGCTGGAGGACAGTGAAGGAAGGGGCAGTGGTAAGAGGTGAGGCCGAAGAAGTAGCCTGTGACCCAACTGTGTAGGGTCTTTTTCACTCATCATCAGCCTTCTTTCTGTCAATCTGAAAAAAAAAAAAAACATGCATTTATAGCCCCTGTTTCCCCATACAAATGATGCTGTGATTCAGGTCAAGCTTGTATTTAATGGTTTCTTTAAATAAACCTCACCAAAGCAACTCCTGCATTTCTTCTTACATAAGACCCATTGCAAAAGGTCTTTGAGCAAATGATAGCAGGATCGGAAATGACTTGAATTCACACTGACTTCTTTAAAGTAAGTAGTGAACTAGAGCCCTGTTTTCTCCTAAGAAGGGATTTACAGGGAAACTGCATTCCTATGGCTACTGTCTGACAAGCAAAATATGCTGGAGAGTTCTTGGTGGTTGTTGTTGTCGTTGTTTAATTTCTAAAAAGAAATTAGAAATAGGAGTTGTGACTCAACAGCAAATCTAAAATCTGCTTAGAATGTTAAGGTTGAAATTACAAGCAGCAACCACCATGAGAGTTCCCTTTTCCTGCAAACAAAAACTGTTAACTGGAGTAGAAACCAGAACACAGACCCACGTAAAGAACATGAAGTGCTGAAGGTGGCTTTAATGTTAGGGTTAAAATGAAAGTCGTCTGAGCTGTGGAAATGGAAGCATTCTCTTTGGGAGGGGTGGGGGGCAAAAGCCTGTTTAAGAACTCTAAACAGTACAGATACATTCATTGTAGTAAATGATGTTTCTATATTTTGTAATGATGTGTTTATTCAACCAGGCATGGTATCTGTTACTCCACTGCCTTTTTGCAGGGAAAGGCCATTTGGAAATAGTAAATATTGAGGGTTTCTTGTGGGGGAAGGGATTCTTTTTTATAATAGTGATTTGGATAGGGAAGACAGGGTGGGCAAGGGAAATATATTAATCACAGGCTTGTAGACGAGAAATCAATCTACCCATACAGAGCGATAAGGTGACTTGCTTAGTGTCATTCTACTAGTGAAAGCCTCTCTCCTTACCAAAAATACTAATATTTTAAGCCAATATTACCCTGGAATGTTTAGCTCTTTTCACTCTTTGGAGAACTTTTTAACTCTTTATGTGATCCCTGGTAGTGACATAGCTAGAAATTTGCTCCCAGGGCGAATATTTCAGAAAGTTTCCTCTATTCTTTGATAATGGTAAAAGAGGATTCCAAGACATTTGACCAAGTCTTTCAAGACATTCTTTCACACAACATGGAGAAACAAGAAATGTGAGTTGGGTTGGATGATAAAACATTTAGATTCAAAACTGATTGTATGGCCATATCTCTAAGTAAAAATTAGCAGCCAGTTGTCAAGTATGGGGTGTTGTGCCACAAGTTCTGTCGTTCTACTGCAGTAGAATATGGTGGCAGTGGCTCCTGACTGCCATTCCTAACCCACACCTGCAACAAGACTGACAGAATGTGTTAGATAGGGCTTTGGCATTCACTTCTTTTTAAAGTCCTTAAGTGGTTTCAGTGCAAAGGTTGGAAATCCATGGCTCAGCGTTTAGGAACTTAAGGTTGAGAGTCTGGCTGACTCAGGTTTGAATCACTGTTTTCACCAAGGAAGTCATTTAAATTTTCTAAGCTTCCATTTCGTCATCAGTATAATGAGGATAAGAATATCTTCTTTGAAGAGCTGTTTTGAAGATTAGATGAAAAAGTATTTTTAAACCCTTAGCACAGTTATTAAATGCCTATTATGGTTGTGGTGGGGACAATTTATAGATATCCCCAAGCTGGGGGGTATGAGAAATACGCTGGATTTTCTCAGTAATCCTGAAGCATTTGTCACAGTTTACTGTGTGGGCAGGAATGATAAGGGCTGGGTTGTAACAGAGATAAACGCAAAGACCTGCAATTGTATTTTTTAAAAAACAAAACTATGCCATTAACTGATGAAATAATGAAAACATTCTCAAGAGGAGCATAAGTGTGAGAGCAGAAAAAGATATAGGAAAGTCCTTCCCCTTGGAAGGGGAAACAGGCTCAAGCAAAAGACTGGGGATAGATCCACAAGTTAGATTGTTTCCTTCCAGGGTAGAGAAGATGTACTTTTCTGAAGGCATCAGCTATGGAGAGAGGCTAATTTATCCCAGGTCTAGTAATATAAACCGAAAGACAAAGTCCGGAGTGTGAATCAGGTAGACAGACAAGCAAGCAATGTTTTTTACTTTGAATCATCCAGATATTTTAGGACTATTCATTTCAAAGTTAGGTTGGATATAGCAAAAAATTTTTTCAAAATTTCCTCTGCCCTTTATCATATCTATATCTCTACATCAATTCTTTCATTCTTCATTATAGTCCCAAAGAAAAAGGTGTTCCTGGCAAGCAGGTCCCTCCTTCCCTTGAGATAAACTGAATAAGTTTAATGTTGGTGCATAAAAACTAAAATAATTTCCCCATCTGTAAGCCAGGAATTAATAACCTCCTTCAGGTAAGGACGATTATTTGGCAAAATATGCAAAATGTCTATTATAATTATGCTGTACTTTACAAAAAAATTTAACTTAAAACATTTGAGGTATAGTACCAATTCACTAAAACTATTTTTCTTTATAAAAGGATCCATACCAAGATTCACTCTTCAAAATAGAAATTCCCCTCACATAATTATCAGTGTACAGAGCGTTAATTCCTGAGTCTTTATTTAGATTAAGGATTCTGCCTTCTTTCTTTGAGAACTACCTTCTTCACCCAGAGTAGTCAGCCTCTAGCCCCTGTGTTACGGTTTGTGACCCTGCTACCCACACTCCTTGATCGCACCATGAGTTGTCACCTGACTCAAGCTGAGCCATTCATGATCTCCCTCCTGAGGAAGTTGGAACTGGGATTCAAAGACAGTTGCTCAGACTTTTTTGTTCTCTTAAAGTGAAGTTACGCATGCTCTAAAATTATGGCTGCCATCTGTATTCATATACATGGAGTTGCACAGAAAGCTGACTTGCTTTGGGAGAAAAGAATTGACACAGACAGAAGAGAGAAAAAAAAAGAGTTCACCAGGAATGAATCCTCTTAGCTTTTCAGCTTCCTCTTCCTTATAAGGCCCAAAGAAACTTCCTGTATTTGGTATCTTGAAAATACTTCCGTATGACAAATTTCCCCTTTTTACCTGAACAAGATCTAGTAGTGTCAGATCTAGTAGTGTCAGAGTACTTGCAATGAAATAACCTGGAGTGAAACAGATATTATAGTACACTGATGAGAAGAAAAGAAAAAGAAAAGAAAAAAATATTCTTCAAATTACAACAGGGAAAATGTATATCTTTTTTTTTGTAATATGAGCTCCTCTCATTTATTTTTTTGTGATTCAAAATTTTTGTAGATTATACTCCATTTAAAGTTATTATAAAACGTTGGCTATATTCCATGTGCTGTACTGTGTGTCTTTTAAAAATCCAATTTACCCACGAATTTTGGAATTCTATCTTCAATCATAAGGTCAAGCATAACTATACAAGTATTAGTCACAATCTAAAACATTACACAGAACCCATGGGTTAGCAGAAAATAAAGATACCTACTCCTATAAAACATCACTCCTGTCACCACTGTTCAATTTTCTTTTCTAAGTTGCTTCACTCTACCTTCTCTGTAACAATAATTTTATGAGTCTTCTGAGCCATAGTTATAATAATTGCTGTGGTCACTCCACGCTATCTACACTACTGACCAAAGGAAAATCTGATTTGATATTAAAGCATCATAATGATGTGGTTAAATACTCTGAATTTCAGTGTTACCTATGAAATACATAAATGGACCAGAAAATGCTGCATGTCATAGTTCTCAATTTTAACTTCCACTCCTATATACTAATATACTACCCTACAT